AGAGAGAGAGAGAGAGAGAGAGAGAGAGAGAGAGAGAGAGAGAAAGACAGAGAGAATCCGATAACGTCGTAACGCGCCGCGTATGCGTAGTATTTGGACAGTTAATAGCGATCGTCAACAGATCATTTGAGATTATGGCGAATATCCAATACTGACGGTCGCTTAAATATACAGTTACATTTGCTTTGGATTAAAGCGCCGCGTTAAATCTCGGTCTGTCCGGTACAGGCTGGAATGCGCGGAATGCTGTCCGCAAATCCGGGACATTCTACGACGACGTGCTACACATAGCCGTAAACAGCAGCGGCAAAACACGACGGTGCCGGCTAGCAAAGAGCGGCCGCCTAGTCTCTCGGCATCATAGCGAATATTACGGTCTCGTCTAATTGAGCGTACCAAATACTAGGATTACAGTCCACCAGAATCGCGCCACGAATCGACTCGCGGGCAAGATGAAGCCATCAGCTGCGCGAATCTGACAATATCGGTCGGAGATCGCGGTAAAGATTAGTCTAATCTATCGTGCACTCGCTTCGGCGACTTTCAACCCCGAACGTCGGGGGATTCTCGCAAGGATCTCGCCACGAGTTCTCCTCTTCCTAAAATGCGAATCAATAATCGGCAACGCGTAACACGTCGAAAGGATCCAACGTATACACGCGGAAGCCGCGATATAAAGTATGCCGAACGTGCGGAGATCGAAGACTCGACGAGATAAAATTTACGATCGCGCGAATCCCGAAGCAATCTTGACGTAATACGTCTTGTAAAATACGCCTGTCAAAAAGTTTCCCGCCGGTTAAGTCTGAACCCAGTCAGACCGCAATCGTCAAGTAAGTATGTCAAGGTAGTGCTGCTACTTTTTGCGAAAGTAGACCACACAGTTTTATACAAGTAAAGCTGCGCTATATTGGCTTGAGTTGATTTTCTGTTTTTCTTTGCACACAAAAGAATACCATTCTGTTGCTAAGAGAAGCACTCACTCGATTTATTTCCCTTCCCTTAAGCGATATATTTAGTTATTTCCATCAAAGAATATTTGTTGCATAAAAATTTTAAAATCTACTCGTTACAGATTTTAAAAAAGCTTATTATCATGTGCTCTAGAAAGCACATTTATTTATGAAACTTTATTCGAGGTAAAGTTTTGATTCGACTCTATGCAGTAAGCAAAATGAATTTTTGTTTTAATTTAATATTCTCTAGCTGAGAAATACCAGACCTACTGGAATTCAGAACTTATTTTGGGGAAATTTGATGAACTTTTGAAGAACTTATGATAAACTAGCTTAGACTATACTATATATAAATAAATATATATATACACTCGGCGTTATATCTCTACAACAACTTCTATAAGGCTTATATCTACAATATCTAAACTTAAATTATCACAAAGTGTCAAGGGGGTGAAATCAAGAGGAAAGGCAGGGTCTTAGAGAGTAATTAGGCAAAATGTGGTTCAGATCGATCAACGGATACAAGAGTTAATGAACATGCAGACAGACATTCTATTTGATATACATATATATATATATATATATATATATATATATATATATATATAT